AGGAAGTGAGAAATCACCCCCAAACCCGGAGGGAGGGGAGGGCCACACCCTAATCCCTTCTCTACTCTCTTGGGATTTGGGGCATGCACACGCGTGTGCCTGGCATGGTCTTCAAGCCGCTGAGTCCAGGACTTGAACCATGCACTTGGCCGTGAGGGATTCAGCCACCTAACCTCCCACTACATGCTGGTCCAGAACTGATGATTTTTTTTTTTTTTTGGAGAGGTATTTGCTATAGGGCGCATGCACTCGCTAAAAAAGACAGAGAGAGACAGAAAGTGAGAAATCACCCCCCAGGGGGGATGGCCACACTGCAATCCCTTCTCCTCCATTGTGCTCTCGGGATCTTGGGGATGCATGCACATGAGCCCAGACTGAGTTTAACCCACCAGGCCTGGGACTTGAACTGTGGTCGACTACATAGGAGTCAAGCAACATAGCCATTACGCCAACTGCTGGTCCCCAGAACTGATGATTTTTAAGTCGACGGGCATGAATCAAGTTCACCGTCGACATTAATGGTTCACAGTTATGCATCACGTAAAGACACAGATATGGTATCTAATTTCGTTGTTGTGCAAACGTCATGGAGCGTACTCACACAAACCTGGATTGGCCATTGTTACCAGCAAACTTAAGTCTGGCTGCTTCTGCTCGCAGTCAGTGAAACTAAAGGCAGAGGCCAGAGGAGAAGGGAGTTTATTTCTGCAACCGAGTTACAGGAAGACAGGCAACAAGCACCACCCCACTGTCCTGAAAAAGCTCAACATGTGCTCAGTGTTTATAGCACGTACAAATCACTCTTCGCTTCAGTCAAAGTCAGTTGCTTTATCCTGATTCCTGTTTTTCTTAAAAGACCCATTCTTGGTTTTTCATCTGACCATTCCTTAAAATAGAACTTCCCAGGACTCAGCACTTGGTCAGATTGTTCTCATCAGAGGCCTTTCTTAACTTCAGAAAGGCAGTCTTACTAAACTTCAAACTGGTCTGCTTCCACGTAACCTACACAACTTACAATATAACTCATTATAATCTTATGGGATGACTGACAAATATGTAGCCTGTCATTGATTGAAATGTTGTGCATCTCATGACTATACATGATGGATTCAAATATTCTCTATAGGGGCCGACAGGTGGCATGGTGGTTAAGAGCGCTAGACTCCTACATGTTTGACCGTGGTTCAAGTCCCTGATCTGGCGGCTTGCTTTCTCACTCTCTCTCTGTCCCTCTCCAGTTAAATTAAAATAAATAAACTTAAAATTTTCTACAAAGTATGTGCTGATTGTGCTGATGAATAATACAATGAAAAAACCTTAGACGTTAAACACCTTACTTTTTTTTTTTTTTTTTTTGGAGAGGTTTTTTTTTTCGCTATAGGGCGCGTGCGCTCGCCAGACAGACAGAGAGAGACATAGAGACAGAAAGTGAGAAATCACCCCCCAGGGGGGATGGTCACGCCGCAATCCCTTCTCCTCCATTCTCCTCTCAGGATCTTGGGCATGTACGCACACGTGCCCGGCGTGAGTTTTAAGCCACCGGGTCCGGGACGTGAACCGCGGTCGACTACGTGGGAGTCCAGCGACATAGCCATTACGCTAACTGCTGGTTCCCAAACACCTTACATTTTCGAAAGTTTTGTGAATTTGTCCATTTAAACCTTTTTCTGCTCTGTACATATTTTCAGTTGCAACACATCTTAGCAGAGTCCACTCGCTTGTATGGGACTCATGTTTTTGTTTTGTTTTAATTTGCTCTAGGGTCCATGCACTCGCCAGAGAGAGGGAGAGAGAAAGAGAAAGTGAGAAAGCACCCCCACCCAGGGGGATGGTTATGCTGCAATCCTTTCTGCTCTACTCTTCTCTTGGGATTTTGGACATGCACGTACACACACTCGGCATGATTTTCAAGACTTCAGGCCCAGGACTCAAACCACACAGGTAGCCATATGGGACCCAGTTGCCTTAATCACCACATCACCTGGCTGGCCTTGAATTAGTGTTTTTCAACCTCTTTGAAATATTTTTGCCTGTAATTGTTCCATACAGACAAAAATCTAACTCTTCAGTAACTGCAAACTATTCACCTTAAGTAAACAGCAACAATTGATCAGTATCAATAATATCTGTCAATTTATCAAGAGCTAAATAAAACCACTCAAAATCACCTGCCTTGTGTTTTAACTTGATTATTGCCTTTTCTCCCAACGTCCTTTTTTTTTTTTTTTTTTTTTTTAGATTTTTGCTATAGGGTGCATGTCCTTGCCAGAGAGACAGACAGAAAACAAGAAATTGCCCCACAAGGGAATACTACACCATAATCCCTTCTCCATTTTCCTCTCAGTATTTTGGGCATGCATGCACACACACCTGGTGTGAATTTTAAGCCACCAGATCTAGGACTCGAACTGTGGTCGACTATGCGGGAGTCTGGCGACGTAACCATTACGCCATCTACTGGTCACTCTCCTGGTCGTTCTCCCAACATTCTTGAGTCTTTGAGCAACTGTTCTCACCAAAAGGCTAATTTTTTAAAAGTTTTTGCCACAGAGCATATGTGCTCGCCAGAGAGAGACAGAAACAGTGAGAGAGAAAGTGAGAAATCATTCCCCAGGGGCAATGGCCACGCCGCAATCCCTTCTCCTCCATTCTCCTCCTAGGATTTTGGGCACACGTGCACATGTGCCAGCCATGATTTTCAAACTGCTGCTGATGGGACTCAAATCATGGTCAGTCATGTGGGAGTCCAGCCCCTTCACCACCACTTAAAACCAGCATGCCACCTGCTAGCCTCTCTAAGTGTAATCTTCAAGTAGATTCATAGTTCTCTAGCATGGAGTCTTTAACACGGTAAAGCAAGCAACTTCATTTCTCTGCAGACCAGGGATTAACAAACCCAACAATCACTTTTAAAACAAACCTTTATTTGACCACCAACACATGGTTTTAAACACATTTTTGCACACTCTGAAGTGTATTTTTTTCATCTTTATGTTGTCATTGCCATAAATGAAAGGAAAATATAATAGAAAATTTTATTGTCAGGTCCAGTAGGTGGTGTGGTGGTTAGGGTGCTGAACTTCCACATGACTGACCATAGTTCAAGTCCCAAAACTGGCAGCTTGCTTTCTCACCATCTCTGTCTCTCTGTGATGAGTGCATGTGCCCTATAGCAAAATTTAAAAAGTCACAACAATAAATAAATTTTTTTAAAAAGAGAAAATTTCATTGTCACTGCTCAGTGCACTAATGTGCTCTCCCTGCCCCCAATAAATCAGTCAAGTTTATAAACTTATAACATTGGAACTTCAGTCACTGTCGGTCAGCTGACAGTCTTTTCTGCCCCCCCCCTCAAGAAATAAGTCAGTATTTTTGTTCAAGTTGTTTGGGCTCCCTCTGCCTTGTCACTGGGTAGGAGATCTGAAACTTGATTTACCTTTCAGCAGAAGGATTTTAGCATGGCTTCGTTTTCTCCTTGGATAGCATAACCCAGGACAGGAAGACGAGGCTCTTTCTCATCCTCTGACCATCCATTTCAGGAAACCCACTCAGCTGGTATTCCTTACTGTACAATAAAGCTGGTTCAGTCTCCACACGTCATAAAATGCTCTTTTTTCCTTTTAAATAATTATTTAGTTTTATTTATTCATCCATTTATTTTCATTTGACCAGAGAAAGACAGACACACAGAGAGAAGGAAAGTGAGAAGGCGAGTCACCAGGTCCTGGACTGGAACTGTGGGCGGCCATGTGGGAGTGTCCCGCGCCTTAACCACCACGCCACCTGCTGGGTGCATAAAATGACCGTTTACACACCCCTGTCAAGAGCAGAGCTGCCCTACAGGTTTAGGTTCTTCTTCTTCTTTTTTTTTTTGTTTAGTAATTATTTATTTAATTCCATGTGCTGTTATTACTATTTCTCAATTTGACCAGAGAGAGACAGAAAGTGAGAAAGAGAAAGCAAGCCACCAGGTTCAGGACTCGAACTGTAGTCAGTCATGTGGGAGTGCAACACCCCGAGCACCACACCACCTGCTGGCCCCAGGTTTAGGGTTCTTATTCCTACGTGGCTACTGAGCGGCAAGCAAAGTCGTAGCCAGGTCTTCCGGTGCTCCTGGTCCTTTCCTGGCTGTGACAGGAGAAAGGGGATGGAGAAGACCCCTAATTCTGGCCGTGGGCTGGGAGTTTAGGGTGTACATTTAGGGTGCTGAACGCACCGAAGTGAGAACGGCTTTTCCCGTAGTCAGCTCCGACACTTTGGCACCACCGCCCTCCCTCCAAAATTGCCAAGAAGTCCATTCTCCACCGGCAGGCGGCGAGCCGGGCTGACCGCAGGCGCGCGGAGCCCGAGGT